TTCTTTCTCCCTCTTTTTCTTTCTCTCTCTCTTTCTCTTTCTTTCTCCCTCTTTCTCTTTCTCTTTCTCTTTCTCTTTCTCTTTCTCTTTCTCTTTCTCTTTCTCTTTCTCTTTCTCTTTCTCTCTCTCTCTCTCTCTCTCTTTTGCAATACCAGGTTATTTTGGCTTGCAATTCAGGTCCTGCTCTGAATGATGTCACGTATAACGAATCCTTGCTTGTGGCGGAAAGGATTGCGGCTATGGACAGTGTAATTCGGTAAGGATTGGTGGAAACAAAGGTTGAAGACTCGAAAGTTTTTGCCTTGGGAAGGACACTTTAAATTCACAGCCTGAGAATGCTTCAGTCTAATGCGGTAATTTTTGACAACAAAGGGAATTGAGAAGAACTTACTAAGTCTCAGTTAGGCAACTATTAAGAAGTCGCCTCCTCTTAATATTAAGGAGACACAGTGACATCGGGATGGTGTCATAACACAACACCACTGCAACTGGGAGAAATGACACGTTTGCTTCAAAATCAGAAACGGATATAACTCTTATTCCTCAAGGGCTCCGCTAAAATTGGCTCTGGGAAAGCGGCACAGCCGGTGTGTCTCTCTCTTTCCCCGTCATTTGCTTCCTACTGAGACCCCTCCGACCTTTCTAGCCATCTCTGTTTGTAAGGCAGCACTCCAATGCTGCACACTTCTCCCCTGGGCTGGAGTATTGCAATTTGACCTCCTCTCTCTCTCTGTCTCTCTCTCTAGAACTGCCCTGAAGGAAGAGAGGCTCCTCTTGGTCCAGACCGGCTCCAGTTCGCCCTGCTTGGACCTCAGGTTTGCCGTCTTGCCGGTCGTTGTAAAATAAAAACGCTAAGCATAAGAGTCGGTGCCTTTTCCATGGGTTTTAAGCCTGAATGGCTGACTTCCCCAGGCTGATCGGCTTCTGAAAGTAAGCTCAGCGCCCCTCGAGCTCCTTCCTGTGGCCTTGCTGGCTGGGGAATTCTGGGAGTGCGAATCCTTGTGGCCTCTCCCCGCTGTGTCTGGTGTGTTCTGGTGTTTAGTGCTCTATAGCGTCGTTTTGAGGGAAGGAGTTGAAACAATTTATGTCTGGGATGTGTGAGGGGTCAGTAGACATTTTCCCAGCCCTCTTCTGGACTCCTGCAGGACACAGGTCCTCCATGGGAGGCAGGTTGGCAAATAATGGAAGATGAAGTGTTTGTCCTTAGAAAAAAACCAAACTCTTTTATTAAACAAAACAAAAAAAGAGCAACACAATTTGAACCCCCTGCTCCCTTTCCACAGTCGTTTAACCCCTTCCCACCTTCTCGATTCCCACAGCCGCCTGGACAAGGGCCTGGCCAGCTTGGTGCGAGAGCGTAAGACCGACCTGGTGATCATCGAAGGGATGGGCCGGGCTATCCACACCAACTACCACGCCAAGCTGAAATGCGAGAGCCTGAAGCTGGCGGTGCTGAAGAATTCTTGGCTGGCCGACCGCCTGGGCGGGAAGATCTTCAGCGTGATCTTCAAGTATGAGCTGCCTCTCACGTCCTCCTGATGGACTCCGAGGAGACGAAGCGGCCGGCTCGGCCAAGGACTTGCACTAGTTACAATTTTAATTGTAAAGAATGTATTTTTATTACCACGGGGAAAACGAGTTCTCTCTTTCTCTCTCTCTCACGCGCGCACACACACACACACACCCCTCTGTATTTATATTGTGCTTTGGTGACTTTAAAAGAAAGCAGCTATCACTCCCTCCACGTGCGTGCATGCGTGTCTGTGTTTCTCTGAGTTGGATGCGATATTTGTTGACGGCGGAAGTTTGATTTTATTTTTCCTCCTTTTTTCTCCCCCCTCCCCCAGGGTTTTTTTTTTCTTTTCTTTTTTGTGTGCGAGTGAGATGCTTGTATTGAAATGTCCTGAAAAGCTTTTTTTAAAATCTATATATCTATATATATATATATAATCTATATTTTAGCTTAAATTTGAACTAGCCGATTACATGGCAAAAAGATCAAATAGAGATTTTAAAAAGATGAAGGAATCTTGGTTCTTCTCTACTTTTACGGGCTTGCAAGATAAAAAGGGAAGGCAAAGCGGTTTGAAAAGGCAGAGTTGGGCTCATTTTTAGAAAGACTGTACTTCTGCTCCAAAAAGTTTTAATATGAATGTTGACAAGATCAGAATCCTTTGGAACGGACATGCGTTGAAGGGAAGAGGATACTTAGAGTGGACACACACACACACACACACACACGCCTCCTATTGTCCTCTCCTAAGAATAACCACCTTAACCACTGACTAGGACAAGGGTCTTCAAACTTGGCACGTTTAAGACTTGTGGGGCTTCAACTCCCAGAATTCCTGACGGGAGGAGGAGGGATTCTGGGAGTTGAAGTCCCACAAGTCTTAAAGCTGTCAGGTTGGAAGGACCCCTGGATTAGAACTTAGGCCAATGGTGGCTAACCTTTTTGGACTCCTGTGCTGAAGATTGTGCGTGCGCTGGCATGCCAGCACCCAGAAGGCAATGCGTGTGGCACCCCCACATCCCCTGCGCACGTGCATGCGATCCCCACCACCGCCCCCTTCCCTGCACTGGGCGCCTCCCTGCTGATTTTCGACCCATTTGAGGCCTTTTCCTCCCAGAGGCTCAAGGGAAGCTTCTGTAGCCTCTGGAAGCCAAAGAGACGGGCCCGTTTCATCGCTTCTGGCATTTCTGGAAGGCCCGTTTTTCAGCCTCCCAAGGCTGCAGGGGCTTCCCTTGAGCCTCTGGGAGGAAAAGGCCTCAAATGGGCCGAAAACTAGCAGGGAGGCGCACACATGCGCTATGCAGGTAAGTGTGGCCATAGGTTCGCCATCACGTATTTAGGCACATCTTCCATATATAACCTTTGACAGCTGTAGTTGCTTACCCAGCATTAAGAATGATCTTAATAGTCCCTTTCAGGCTGCTGTGCCCCAAAGAGCCACCGGAGGGCGACACTTGCTTTCCCAGCACTATAAATGGTCTCAATGGTCCCTTTTCAGCCTGCAATGG